AGAATTGGCTGGCGGGGAGCGGGACTGACCCAAGGCACATGCAGATCCCAGGGCGCAACCTGTCCCGCACACGGTCCCAGCGAAGCACGAGAAAGTCCAGCTATGGCTCCACAACATGCTTGACCAGTGCTCAGGAGCACGGACAGGGCTTCTCCTCCTCAGACGCAACCAGAGGCTCCCAGCGCCCTGCCTCCCAGCCATTCCCCCCACCCCCAACAGGCTTCCGTCGAGCACCCAGCCAGAAAACCAGAAAACACCGGACAATACACATGTCCGATATTTTCTGAATTTTTTTACCGGACAGAGGCCAGACTATCTGGTTGAATACTGGACACCTGGCAACCCCACCTGTACTAAATTGCTTGAGACTGCAGGCTGGAGAGGAAGGGGATGGGCTGAGAGTTAGGGTGCTCACCTGGATTTAAGTGACCAAGGTTCAGTTCCTGCTTTGCTACAGATTTCCTGTGTGACCTTGGGCAAGTTATTCAACTTGTTGGTGCCTCAGTTGCCCTTCTGGACAATGGGGATGCTAGCACTGCCCTGCCTCCGAGAGGTGTGGGCCGATAAACCCGTGAAAGATTGTGACGTGGTCTGATAACTGAAGTGTTGGGGGCTACTTAGACTGAGAAACTTCAGGAAGATTAGCCTTCTGCTTCCAGCTAGGCCTACAGACCCTCCGTACTGAGCCATCTCTACAATATTCAATTCTTATACCACCCTCAGGGGAGCCGACAGCCTCCACGGGCTCCTAGACCAGGTGGGAGGGGGCCCAGCTCTGTACTGCCAGAAGGGGCGGGGCCTCCGGTGAAAAGGGCGGGGCTGGAGCAGCCAGCCCTCAGCGCTGCATGGAGCATGGAGCATGGCACCCTGGCGGTGATGTAAAGGGCCCCAGGCTCTGGGAATTGCCACTGCTGCAGTGGCAGCAGCTGGGAGCCCTGAGGCAACTGTCCCCTTCCCTCCACCCCCATTGGCAGGCCTGACCACCTAATCACATGGCCTCTGGGATTCTCCCTTTGAAACCACTCTCCCGACCTGCCAGATCTTTTGAAGCAGCTGATCACTGAGTTAAGGTTCACCCTCAGCCCTGGGGAGGCCTTGACTGTTCCCCTAGCTCATGTCCACGAGGGGCAGCAGGGACCGTGCTGGGCAGCCACGGAATCCCATTCATGTGCCACAGCAACGCAGCCACGTTTCTCCCCCGATGTCAAAAGAAAAGAGGTGTCCCACCCAGGGCTGCCTTCGGACACAGGCCCAATCACACGGCAGAGGGGAGATCAAAGCACCCGTCTGTCCAACTCCCGTAGGTGAGCACTGAAAGATTAATGGCAGGTACTTGTTTCCTTTCCCAGAGATGATTTTCATAATCGATGTCTCCACATTCCACCAACACCCCCCGTCCCAGCACCTAGAGAAATTTGCTGCTTTCGCTAGGAGGCTGGAGCAGCCAATGGAACATCGGGGCCAAGGGAAATATGTATAGGAAAGAATAATAGCAGGCCTATCATGAATACAGCCTTCTATTATCAGCCTCTCTGATTATTTCCATTTACAATGCCCAGCATTATCTCTCCACCTCTCACTTCATCTCCCAGGCAAAGGAGGGAAGGAAATAATTGGAGAATCTTCTATAAAAAAAAGCACTGTCTAATCCTGTGTTATTTTCCTCCGCCTTGGCTGGTGAGGATTTAAGAGGCGGCGATGTTTTCTATGCCTGGCTTCCCGCAGCGAGCATTGTTTTCACATTACGGCTCTGCTTATTGATTCTTTATGCCTTTCTCCTTTCTGGGCTGTTTTGCTGTAACTGATTTGTGCATGCCAGGCGCCTGGTGCTTTGCGAACAGCAGGTCTGCATGCTTGTCTATATTTCCTGCCCCCTGGCTTGCATACATTGCAATTTCTAAATTGGGAAATATTTGGTGGAGGGAGGAAAATAAAGGGGGGCTCTGGGTCTCGTTTTCAACC